CCTGCTCCATGGGCCAAAAGCACTCCAGGGACCACGTTAGCAATGTAATGAGTATGCAGCAGCCTTGCCACAATCCAAAATGCCAGAGCCATCCCCTGTCCATCCCCTGACATGGCAGCAGGGACAGGCTGCCCCTGCTTCTGCCCACAGCCGTGCAGCTGCCCCTGGTCTCCACAGGGCAGCCATGGCCAGCGGGTGCTTGAAACTTCTTGTCCCAAGCTCCTCTGAAAGCCAAGCTGGACGGGGTTCCTTTAAATTTTAACTCTGCAGGAGCAAGCCCTGGACCTGTTCCTGCAAGAGCCAGGAGGAGGAACATCAGGCTGCACCCTCAGGAGCAGGAGAAGCAGGTGCTGGAGACATGGAGCTCTAATTGAGGGTCATTATCACGTCCCCGGTGCCAGGAGGAGCGTTCCCTGCCGCTCCCGAGGACAGAACAGCCCGTGCTGCTCAGCCCTGATTTATTGTGCAGGGGGAGAGGCAGGCGAGAGCCCGGCGCCACGCGGAGAGGGGGCATGTGCTCCTCCTCTGCCTCATTTACCTCTCACTAGCCAGCAGCCCTGCTGGAACTGCTCGTTCCCCAGCGCTGCCAGGCAGGGCTGGGATCCCAGGAGCACACCTCAGAAAGCCCGTGGACAATGCAGGGCTTCACGTGGGTGTTACTGAGAGAAGGTCCAAGGTGTCCCAGCGACAGAGTGTCTAGTGGTACTGGGAAAACAAGCTGGGCACAGTACTGTAGTGCTCAAACATCATGTTCCCATCCTTTTCTCCAAAGCTGAGTGGTGATGATGCAGCTAAACCAGGGAACTAGATTTTTGAAAACTGGTGCTCCCGATGTCTTTATGGGGAGCAACAAAAGGAGATAACCATGGCAACAGGAGACATATCTCCTGAGGCTGGTCCCACCAGGTGTAGGGTGCTCCAGTGAGGTGTAGGACTGGCTACAACACCTCAAGTTCTTTGGGGAGGTAAGGATGTGAAATACAGCCTGGGGGTGGCAGGGTTCCAATACAGTTGTCAGTGCCATTAGGGATGTCTGAGGACATCCCATCCCATCCCATCCCATCCCATCCCATCCCATCCCATCCCATCCTGCTGCATCAAAGAGGTACAGGTCCCTTGTCATCTCCACCAGCCTTATGGGGATGTCTCCATAACCTTGAGCATCTCAGGTGGCCTAAAACACAAACTGGGGAGCTTTAAAGTCACGCAGAGGTAAACTCAGCAATGGAGCCTTCAATCACACCACAGCTGAAGAGAGATGTTCTGGTTATAGACATCTCCTCATCCAAATCCTACCCTGGGGCTGGAATCCTTTATTAAAATACCCCCCAAAATCCCAAGTCAAAATGGGATCACTCTTTCAACCAATTGTTCCCTTGTGGGCAAAACTGATGGGGATTTGGGAGTATGACTACAGTGGGCTCCTTGCCTCCCAACAGCTACTCAGCCTTAATCACTGCAAATCACTTTGGGGTGCTTTGGCTATGAAAAGCACTTAAGGCCCATTAAGTTCTCATCTCTATTTACTCCAAAGTAGTAGCCAAGTATTTATTTCCAGGGAAGTGTCATGGGTAACAATTTCCTGTGCAGAGTATCTCAGTGGAGCAGGTTTATTTTGGAGGGAGATCCTTTTATGTTAGTCATCCTGGCAGCATGGTTCTCCTGCAGTGTTTTACCCTGGTATGTAGCTCATGCAGCCCCCAGGGAATCAGGTCCTTATTATTCTTACTTGAATATGATACTTCAGTGAAATACATGATTTCTCTGGTCCCATAGAGGAGGACAATTGTTGCCCAAGAGCAATTTGGTCAGCTGAGAGGCTGGGAGAAGGAGGCAGCTGCCCAGGAGGTGGCAATACTGTCATTCACTCAGCAGTAGGATTTGAGGTGTAAAACCATCTGATGGAAATGTGTGGATTAAGCAGCATTCAAAACTCCTCATAGTCATAGCTGTGAAGGCAAAAACCTAATTGTTTTTATTAACTGCTTACCTGAAGGCTCACTTTAGCCAGAGCTCTGGCAAAACAGTTATTTTTGCTTTTAGCATTTGGCATCACCCCATTTTCCCAGATGCTGAGGACTCAGCTCCTCCAGAGATGGTGACCACAGAGATGTCCTCACACGGTGCAGGAATCAAGCTGCTTTTATTCTTGTGTGTAATTTAGCTTGATTTGGCAGAGAGGGAACTTCCTTACAGGGCAATGAGAGTTTCTGTGATGTTAAACATCATTACCCCAAAGAATAAGGAATAACAGCTGAACTGGGTTTTTTTTCTCATCCTCTAGCACTAACAGACTTAAACTCAAATAGGCCACAGGAACATGTGGATGGTTGCCAGTTCTGGAGTGCCTTTTTTATAGGAAAGCCATACTGATTTCTAGGTCTGAGTTAAAACCTCAGTGCCTGCAAAGTTTTGCTCAGTTCCATGGAAGATGCACATGCACGGGTGGAGAAAGTGCCTGTTCTGGTGACACAGGTCTCGAAGCCAGCAGGGATGCAGCAGCATCCCTTGGGATGCTTTTATTGCCTTTGCAGAATGCCTGGGACAGCCTTTACCCCCTGCAGTGTCCCACTGCTCAGCTGTGCACAGTTTTCTTCTACCAACCAAACAAGCAATGAGACGAGTTAGATTTTCTCCATGCTTCTGCCTCCAGAGTAGACACAAGCTCTTCACATGCAGGACCTGGCTGTCTGGAAATGCCCCATTGCTGCCGAGCCAACAGCCCTGCCCTCGCCTTACCCTGCAGCTCCTGGGTTGGATTTTTTTTCCCCCACTGGAGATAAAGTCCATCCTACCCATCAGTTTATAACTCTGCTGAGAAAAGTCCTTGGGTGTCTCATTCCCTTGTGTGATGCCAGGTCTGGTGGAGCCAGGTCACGTCGCAGCCTGGCCCTGTCCCCAACAGCCGTGGGCTGGTCAAATGACTCACCCCTTCTCCAGAGGCTGCTCCACCACCGAGACAAATGCTCTCTAGTCTGGTGGCTGCACGCATGGTTCAACTCTTGCAGGCACCGAAAACTGAAACGAAAGCAGGCGATGAGTAATTCTGTGCCTCTGGGTGTGACCAGCAGGGCGTATAGGGTGGCTGTATGGAGGAAAAACAGAAAATAAATGAAGATAAAGAGGGCAATGAAGCCCTAAGCAAGGTGGGAAGTCCAGACATGGGTTTAATTGGGGTCAATGAATCATTGATTCCCAGCAATGGGAAGGAGCACCACTGCCTGCTGTCAAAGGGAGTGTGAAGCCCAGCTCTGTGCCACCAGGCTGGGGAACGTCTGTCCTGGTGTGTACAGAAAGTCATCTGGCCTCAACCCTGCCTTGGCCACCCTGGTTTCACCCCTTTTAAAATGCAGCTCTATAAAAGTGGCGTTGCTATGGCTTTAACGTCTGTGCCTTGCAGAGGGATGATCCCAAACCAACCAGGGCTCAGGGCTTCTCCCAACCCACTCCTCAAAGCAAATGTGAACTCCTCTTGGTAGAAAGAGGATGTCATCAACTCTGCTGCTGGAGTACTGCGTTCAGCTCTGGGGCCCCAACATGAGAAGGACATGCATTTGTTGGACTGAGTTCAGGGGAGGGCCATGAAGATGATGAGAGGGCTGGCACAGCTACCCTCTGAGGACAGGATGAGAGAGTTGGGGTTGTTCATCCTGGAGAAGAGAAGGCTCTGGGGAGACCTTATTTCAGCCACCCAGTACCTGACAGGGGCCTACAGGAGAGCTGGGCAGGGACTTTTTACAAAGGCTTGTAGCGACAGGACAAGGGGTAATGACTTCAAACAGAAAGTGGGGACATTTGATTAGATGTAAGGAAGAAGTTCTTCACTGTGAGGGTGGTGAGGCACTGGAACAGGTTGCCCAGGGAAGCTGTGGATGCTCAGTCCCTAGAAACATCCAAAGCCAGGCTGGATGAGGCTTTAAGCAACACGGTCTAATGGAAGGGAGTTACCTGTTGGAATTAGTCAATCTTTAGGGTCTCTTCCAACTCAAACCATTTTATGAAGGTTTTATGATTCCCTGTGGAAATGCCAGCACAAGAAGCTGGTATATGGGATGTGGCACCTTGGGGCAGTTTGGGCACTGCCCTTTGGGGGTTGGGGTCTCATAGGTCCTCCAGCCACAATGTCCTTTGCAGGGGCACAACACAAAGTCACCACTGTGAGCCAAAAGCCTACTGGCGTGGCAGCTGAAGCCCTGTGCTGGAGGCTTTTCCCCTCCCAGTCAGAAAGCAGTTAATGTGAGAGGGTATTATAAGCTTCAACTCCATAAAAGAGAAAAAAAAGCCACAACCAAACACTTCCTCCTGGGTAGAGAAACTGG